ATTTTTTACCCCGGGCTGCACCCCGCGTTAAATTTTTTTTCACGGGGAACCCGTTCCCGGGGTAAAAAATTATTGCCTCGGGGTGGACACTCTAGTTATTACATCATCTAAGTAATTAGTTGTCTGCTATTAACCTAACTACTCGAGCCATTTGTGCATCTTTGAAATAATTTTTTGACAATTTTTTTTTTACTTTAGACATTTTAACGTACTACCTTTTCCTAAACATGAACAAAAGACTTAGTGAAGATGAAAGTGAAGTTGTAAGGAAAACTCGAAAAGTTATTTCTTTAGAAGAAAAAATAGAAATCATAAGAAAAAGTGAAGATGGTGTCTCGAAATCAAAAATAGGCCTAGAGCACAAACTAGGTGAGTCAATAGTAAAAGCAATTTTAGGTAAAGCTGATGAATACAAAATGAAAGGTAAAGCTGCTTCAAACTTATCATGTGTGCATACCACTCGAAATCAAAATGTTATCATGATTGAATTAGAAAGATTGATAACTATCTGGATAGAGGACTGTAACCAGAAAAGAATTCCTTTAAGCACTGATCTCATAAAAGACAAAGCTTTAAGTCTCTTTTCAATCTTAAAAGAAGAAAAGTTCAAAGACGAGACAAAGGAGTTCCATGCTAGTGCTGGATGGTTGGAGAAGTTCAAGAAAAGAACTAGCCTGCACAAAGTAAGAATTACAAGGGAAGCAGCTAGTGCAGATAAGGAAGCTGCTGATGAATATCCTGAAATTCTGAAGAAAATTATGGAAGAAGGAAAGTATTCGGATGAACAAATTTTTAACGTCGACGAGACGGGGTTATTTTGGAAAAGGATGCCTTCCAAAACTTTTCTGGCCAAATCAGAGAGTTCCCAGTCAGGATATAAAGCTGCAAAGGACAGACTAACCCTTTTATTGGGCGGCAATGCTAAAGGAAATTTGAAATTAAAGCCTATGTTGGTTTATCGAGCTCAGAATCCAATAGCTCTTAAAGATATAAATCAAGGACAATTACCAATAATATGGAAATCTAATAAAAAAGCATGAGTAACTAAAGCTTTGTTTGAAGAATGGTTCGTCAAGTATTTTTGTCCAACGGTTGAAGGCTTTTGCCGAAGAAGAAATTTAGATTTTAAAGCTTTGCTTATTTTAGATAATGCCCCTGGTCATCCTTTGTATGGTCTCGATTTAATGTGCAAAAATATCCAAGTGACATTTTTGCCCGCAAACACTACCTCTTTATTGCAACCAATGGATCAGGGCGTTATCGCGACCTTTAAAGCATACCACATGAGAAAGACTTTCAAGCAAGCCATTCAAGCAACATCTGGAGAGAATTCTATGACACTAGTTCAATTTTGGAAGAAATTCAGTATTAAGGATGCTATTGATAATATCCATCAAGCATGGAATGAAAATTCAGTTAAAAATATGCAAGGTGTTTGGAAGACAGTTCTTCCACACTGTGCACAGGACGTCACAGGCTTTTCAAAATATACAGAAGAGGTCATTAAAGAGATTACTCATATTGGAAAAGAACTTGGCTTAGCTAAGAATGACGATAAAAATGTGCAAGAATTTCTAGAAGCTCATTCAGAAGAACTAATCAATAAGAATCTTATGAATTTGGACATCAGAGAGCATATGAAGACATTGATGAATGTGAAGAAATCTTAACTACCCGCCAGCATCAGAAGATGACAAAGAAGGAATTAGAAGAACTTTTCACGGTTATTGAAGAATTTAAGGGAAAATGTATAGAAACAGACCCTGATGAAGATAGAAGCCGTCAAATTTGCAGAAAAATTGATGAGGCAATTTCTCAGTACCGCCAATGATATGAAGAACAGAAGATATGATACAACAAGCCACTCTAAATAAGTTTTTCATAAGTTATTATATTCGATTAGTGCGTTTTCGATTAGTGGGGCTCTTTTAAAGAACACATTAACCGCACTAATCGAGGGATTCCTGTATATATATCAGTCATTCTTAATCTTGGTTTAGATTTTAAATGGTTTAATAAACAAGGAAAGTTAATGGTAGAGGAACACCTATAAATAGAGAAATGAACCATAGGAGTATAACAGTAAATCCTATTTTACTTTTAAATTTTATTTTACTAGTAAGTTAATAATAGGGTTGATATTGTTTAAGTGCACATAATTTATTTTTTTAATGAATTGTTGTTTTTTCTATAACTTCGCTCTGTGTGGAAGTCTCTAACTTCTTAGATAGGAAATTTTCATAGCCACAAGGCTTATCATAGCTTTTTTTTTAATACTAGACATATTAAGAATAAGAATCTTTGTGTAGAGTAGTGTGTTTTGTGTTAAAGCAGAAAATTTACTCCAAAGGCAAACATGTTTTAATTTTTCAGAGTATTGTTATGTCTCCGTTCGTTAGTTAATTTTCCGCAAATTCCTTCCGACGAAACTTTAGCGACACAAGTCCTTTCTTAAATAAAACTGGTTTATTCTTTCTGAATATAACTTTGCGATACACTTAATTTCAACAGTCGCGCTATAAGAAACGCTATAATTCTCAACGAACGTCTCACGTGCTCGACTTCAACAATACTCATTTCAATTACACATTGTTTCTCACGTTGTGACCGTCTTATATATACCAGACTACCCCCCAATCTACTAGTCTCCCGATAATTCACGAAGGTTCGAGAAGGACGTGGCGTGATACTAGTCACGTGACTTCGCTGACGCAACAATATGTTGTCACATGATTTCAGAAAAAAAGTTATTTGTGCTACAGATTGGTAATATATATATATTTTATGTCATGCTAGTTTGTATAATAAGGTGTATTAATAAATTCTGCAAGTAATAACTGGAGGCTTTTCTTTTTCAAGGATATGTTGGTTGGGCAGTACTTGGCAAACTTTTTATATCCTAGGGATCAAATTATTTTTGCAAGCCACTTGACCCAAGGGTTGAATGCACAATTTACTGAGGGGAGAAAAGGTAAAACTAGTTTTGAACTTGCTATTTTATTTCAATATGTTTATTTATTAGTATTTTAGATATTGTATGTGTTGGGCATAATCTACCTGAGAAATTGGCATTCAGTAAATGTAAGTAGAATTATTGTTTGATATGTATGAAAACAATAGTCTTAACTCCTTATAAAAATTATTTTGAGTATGTATTGTACACGTGGCTGTTGTTTATGTCCAGATTTTGTGCATTTGTTAATTACTTAATATTATTATAAAACTATTTATTTCATATTAAAATAGAAGGTTGTGAAGCCATTCTCTAAATCAGTGGTTCTCAAACTTCTCAGAGAGCATGCATCCCTTCCTTAACTGTCTATGGTACTTATAGACCCCTGCATACACACACATACAGCACAATCACTAATGTACACATCTAGTCCAGTAGTGAACCAATAATTGACTTATAGCATCAGATGCAAGAGGAGTTTGTCCAATAATATGCAATCTGAAAAAAAAGGCACTAGTCAAACACATGACACCTTGAAGTTTTGACATGCTAGAAGACATCAGCAGTTAAAGTTGCTTTACTTTGTAGATGCAGGAAATGATATGTGTATGTGGTAATTTGATTGGTCTTTTGTTCATGAACCTTCTCAGTTTGAGAACCAGTTTTAACTAAATGTTAGATGAGGCTTGCAGATTGAAAACAGCTGATTAACTGATAAGGATTTAGGGTAAAAAAGGAAGCTTGTGTCTTTTTAGTTCAAATATTTGTGGTAATATGTTGTACAGTTTTATAGATATCTAGCTTTTTCTCACCAAAAGTTATCATTTAGAAACATACCCCTCAAATTTGCCAAATATGCAAGGGGGATAAAGATTAATCTTGGGAGGGGGAGATTCTACTATGCCTTATGGAAAGATGTTGTTCACTTAATGGAAAGCTTCACAATTGGGTATCTGCACTCTGCTTACTGTGGGACTTGAACCCCAGGTTTTAGCATTGTAAGTCGTAAACTTACTGCGGGAAAACCGGGGGACCTTATGGAAAGAAAAAACCCTGTTGTAGTTTTCTTACAGTAAATATGTATATTCTTTCTTTAGCAACACAAACAGTAGGTTCTTAATGCCTGTCCATAGTTTAAAGTATATAAGCTCTAGATTAGTCAACTTCCATGAACTAAATTTTAATACTGATGAGTTTGAAAAACTGAAAATTATAGAACAAAATAATAATGGGATGAAAAAAAATACTAATTTCAGAAAAAAACAAAAAAACTTGATAAACAAGATCAACAGCATTATGTTTTTCTTAAATTTCAGGTGCCTGTGAAAGTTCAAGTTTCTACTGTCGATTCAGGTTAGTAACAATTAGCTGTCATTAGTTACACTGTTTAAATAGTGTATTCATTGTGAGTGTTTGTGTGTTCTGTTGTAACTTGTTTAATGTTTTTTAAAGGCTATTGGGAAAAAATTAATGACTTTGAAATGAGCATTTATACCAACCCAGAATTGTAACTAAAAGGTACCGTTACTATTTTTGGGCTACTTGTATTTCAGTGGTCATTAGTTATATACAAACTTTTTATGACTGTTGATATGTTTATTTTTAATAGGTGGTACATATCCATATTGATCTTGTTGGTAATTGTGTGTAAAATATTTTCAGGCAGTATCAAAGCTTAAAGTTTGGTTATGGGTTGTCAGAAAAGAAACCATGTTACAGAACATGTCACATTACCTTGTATACTATGGAATTATTTGAAGACTTCACTTGTTTGGAGGACACTACACAAGCTATGTGTCTAGTAGCAACAGTTTTGCCTGTACAATCAGCTTATAAAAGTGAGTTGCTTCATATAAATGTGTTAATGAAATATTTAGTCATAACTCACGTGTAGGTAACCCCTGAAAAAGTTGTATTTCAAAATGATTATTCTTGAATTTTTTTATAGTTTGAGTAGTGTTTCATGACAGAAAAGGTATATATTAAAGTATCATATGTGTAATAGGATTAATATTTGAAACCATCGGCACTTGGGGAAACTGCATGATATAAAATTGAGAAAGATGACTATACATTTCACAAGTATTTCATTTATTACTACCATGGCATCACCATGTATCATTCGTAATGATTAAGCTTCCCAAGCACACTTTACATATTAAAGAAAGTTGCATTACTTGTTAATGGCCAGGTGATTAGGGCACTCGACTCGCAATCTAAGGGTCGCGGGTTTGAATCACCATCCCACCAAACACGCTCACCCTTTTCAGCTATGGGGGCATTATAATGTGACAATCAATCCCACTATTTGTTGGTAAGAGAGTAGCCCAAGAGTTGGCAGTGGGTGGTGATGACTAGCTGCCTTCCCTCTTGTCTTACACTGCTAAATTAGGAACGGCTAGTGCAGATAGCCCTTGTTAGCTTTCCGAAAAATTAAAAAACAAATCAAAATTTTGTTGGATACAAAATTATGGTAATTTTTCTGATATAATAACAGTTTGATCTTTATAGCTCTGTGACCTGTGTTGTTAGATTTAGTGATTTAGGTTTAATTTAATTTGTAACGAATATTTCAGTAAACTTATCCTTTAATTTCAAATTGTTAAAGCAGATTACAAAGCTTCTCAGGATTTCCTTTGTTTAATTTCATTCTATTGTTGATGCAGTTGTTTTTGAAATTTTTAAAGTTCTCAGTATTTAGTGAGCATTTTTGAAAAAATGAAATAAATGTGTTTGCAGTAGTTTTTTGACCATTGAATAAAATAAATTATGTATTGTATATTGGAGACCTAACATAATTAATTTGTATTAGTGCCAGGTGAAATCCCATCAATGACCACCTTCTCTACAAGACACACCATGTCTTGCTATTTTAGTCATGTTGATAACACGTAAGTTTGGTTTTTATAGTATTGTTACATTAACTTACATACAGCTCTTAGTTTTTACATGGACTTCACTTAAATTCTTTTGCTTTCTTGTCAGTTAATCTGAGCTACCTTGTAGCTTTATTCTTGTTTTTATTACACTAACATTAGCTAATTTTTTGTATAAACCCTGTGTCTAGCCACTGTGGACTACATTTTAGCTTCACTTCTGTACCACTTAGTTTTGCTGTTGTATCTACCATAATAATCTGTTTTCTACTTCCTTTTTTACCCATGTCTCCATCTTACTAACATGGCAACCTTCAAGCTTCTGTAATGTCTCTGTTTTCCCAAAATTGAGAAACTCCTTAGCTTGAAACTCCATATTTAAAAATTGTAGTTTATGGATATCAGTTGTATGTTATACCATGTTTAGATTAAGATTATTTTTTTTCATTATTTTGACAGTGCCATCCCCTACTTAGGTTTTACTCCACAGGATATGGTGGGAAACTCTGCATTTGATTTCTATCATATGGATGACTTACCTCAGTTGAAGGATATCTATGAATTAGGTAGGATTTAACCTAATTAATATATATATATATATATATATATATGAAATCAAAGCAAAACAGCAATAAATGTGACTTTTTATTTGAATTGATATAAAATTGTAACAAACTTAAATTAAGCCCTGAAAGATGAAAGCAAAATCCAGTTAAGATGAATAGTTTGAATAAATATAGATTATTCATAATAATTTATTAAAAATACAATCAAAATATAGCTGAAAAATGGTGTGAGGCACAAGAGGTATTGTTTTGTTTTAACTATTATAGAGAAAAAGTATGTAACATATAATACAAAAATTTGCTTAACTTCTGTACATGAGAACAGCTGATAAATTAGTTATTTCTAAGCATAACTAGTTGAGTAGCAAACTTCATGTGTTTCCTTTAAAGATTAATTGCAAAGTGTTTAATGAAATAGAGGTGAGTTCCTTTATTTGATTCAGTTTTTACTTCATGTAATTAAAATGTCATACTCTTGCAACTGTAAAATGCTAATCAGAATAATTTCATGATATAAAATTATTTCTTCATCTGTAATAATAAAAGAGTGTGTCTGTGTGTGTGTGACCACCATAACTCCAAGAGGAAAGAATTTATAAACCTAAAACTTTGCACACATACTAAGAGGACCCTGAGGGTTTGCACCTGGGTATTATTACTTATCCATGTGTGTGCGAGTGCAGCTTTTTAATGAGGCATGCTAGCAAAAAAATCACATAGGAAAGGATATGTGACCTCAGTAGCTCCAAGAGGAAAGAACCTAGAAACCTGACATTTTGTACCCATACTAAGTGGACCCTGAGGGTGTGCACCTGGGTACTATTACTTATCCACGTGCCTGCATGCATGCACATCTTTTTAATGATGCAAGCTAGCAAAAAACCACATAGAAAAGAAGTGGTTCCTTATATTACAAATAGAAATCACAGACAGACGCATATGTGTGTGCCTGAGCACCTGCATATCTGTGTATGTGTGACCGCAATAGCTCCAAGAGGAAAAAACCTAGCAATCTGAAATTTTGTACCTATACTAAGTGGACCCTGAGGGCTTGCACCTGTGTATTATTACTTATCTATGTGCATGTACATGCACATCTTTTTATGTGAAAAAACACATAGAAAAGAAACGTGCATGCATGCATGTGCATCTTTTTAATGAGGCAAGCCAGTGAAAAAGAGGTGGTTCCTTATACTACAAATAGAAATTACAGGCGGACAGATAGACATGCACAGGGGTATTATTAGTTATCTATGTGCATGTGCATCTTTTTATGCAAAAAAACTACATAGAAAAGAAATGTGACCACCATAGCTCTAAGAGGAAAGAACCTAGATACCTGAAATTTTGCACCCACACAAAGCAGACCCTGAGAGTCTGCACCTGTGTATTATTGCTTATCTATGTGCACGTACATGCACATCTTTTTATGTGAAAAAACAACATGGAAAAAGAAATGTGCATGCATGCATGTGCATCTTTTAATGAGACAAGCCAGTGAAAAACCACATACAAAAGAGGTGGTTCCTTATACTACAAATAGAAATTACAGGCAGACAGATAGACATGCACAGGGGTATTATTAGTTATCTATGTGCATGCGCATCTTTTTATGCAAGAAAACTACATAGAAAAGAAATGTGACCACCATAGCTCTAAGAGGAAAGAACCTAGAAACCTGAAATTTTGCACCCACACTTAGCAGACCCTGAGGGTCTGCACCTGGGTATTATTATTTATCTTATCCAGAGCGTGAATGCATGCACATCTTTTTAATGAGGCAATCTAGCGATAAACCACATAGAGAAGAAGTGATTCCTTATATAAAAACTTCTAATATATAGAAAAGCCAGTGCATTTTGGTAACAGTGCATTCCAACATTGGATTTTATAGCATGTTGCTTAGTAATAAAAACATCACGTAATATTGTTATTAAGAGGCTATATGCTGAAAGTATAAAATGAAATGTATAAACTACAAAATTGAAGAAAATATCTGTTGTTTTCTAATTTAGAGACCACATTACTTAAAGAGGTTTACTTTTTATTATTTAAGATTAAAATTGGAGGACTAATAAAGGTGAAGGATACCTTTATAAACAGACCACATCCTGTAAAGGAGCAACAAAAGTATATAGGTTAAACTTTTATGCTAAAATGGGTTCAGAATATACATGCTGACATGGTCATCTAGAATATATCAACCTAATAACCCAAGTGAAGCCGGGTACTTTCGCTAATTAGTAAATAAGATCTAAAACAGTAATTAGTAGTTAAGTAACAGTCCTGTAAATAGTTAAGTTTCTGTAGCTACTACATTAAGTGTATCTAACATATTCTTTATAGTTCTTTTGTATTACATAATTTCATAAATGTAAATGTTAATTTAATTAGATAACTGTTTCTCTATAAACCTTAAAACAATAAAATGTAAACAGTGTCATTTTAGTGAATGGTACAAAATATGAAATATCTTTACAACTCTTGTAGTTATGAAAGAACAGGGCTGCCCATTCCGAAGCAAGCCCTATCGGTTCCTAGCATCAAATGGCTGTTATATCACATTGGAAACAGAGTGGTCCTCTTATGTTAATCCTTGGACTAAGAAACTGGAATTTGTTGTGGGGCAACATCGTGTTTTAAAGTAAGTTACAGAATTACTGGACTTTTGGTTTTGTACATATGAATACTGATATGAATAGTTGATGTGTTTTGGTATTTAAAACATTATTACTTCATTGAGTTTTCCAGAAAAAAGGATGTAGTGATTGTTTTGTTGAATATTTTTGTATTGAATGTTCACACTTAATTAGGTTTAGGTGGATGGTAATGAGATTAGCCTTTAGAACTCAAAATCCATTCAAAAGTTTAACATTTTCGTGTCATTTGGTAAACTTATGTTGATAATTTAATTTGTTTCTTCTGTGATCATATAGTCTTCTATAATTCTTTTAGGGGTCCAGAAGATCCAAATGTGTTTAATGAAAAGACTCAAGAGGAAAATCCAATATCAGAAGAACTTCTTAAAGCAAGTCAGCAAATACAAGAAGAGATAAAACAGTTGTTAGCACAGGTACTAATATTTAACAAACCAGTATGATAGTTAATTATGTGTTATATTTTATATCTCAGACGTTTGAAACACTTATCTGGCCTGGTGGATAGGTCATTTAACACTCAAACTGTTGGTTGTGAGTACAAAAACCTTCACCAAACATCCTCACCCCTTCAGTCATAGGGCCATTTGTAATGTGATAGTAAATCCCACTATTTGTTGGTAAAGATAATCCAAAAGATGGTGATAGATGGTGTTGACTAGCTACTTTGCCTTTAGTCAATCACTTCTAAATTAGGGATTGCTAGCACAGATAGTGCTTGAGTAGCTTTGCATAAAATTCAACAAACAGAAAACACCTAGCTGGATTTTTAATATTTATTACAAGTTTTCTATATGAGATCAGTATTGCATGAGTTACTTCTAAAGTTTCTTGGGCAAAATAATTGTATTCTATATAATGTCTAACTGGAATATTTAAAAGGTACTGATGTGCTTCCTATTATTTCCCAAATTATTTATGTTTTCAGAAATGCATAATAGTTTCTGTGTTATTACTTCATGCTGTGATAATCATTAATTCCATACCCATATGTTCTCATTTCAGCCAGTAAAATCTGTTTTCAACAGCATGTGTAAAACCCACAGTTGCAAGAGAAAACTAGCTGTAGCATACCAAACACGTAACTTACTGGATCAGATAGGAAGAAGTAAGACTGGTGTTTGTATGTTTTAATTGCACTTCCTCATTTTTTTATTGAAATAATGATTTATGAAAGTTATGTAGCAGAAGTTAGATCTGTTTGTGAATTACTTGCAGTAAAGACTTCAAGTGTGTAGTATGTTGTTTTAAGAATTAGATTAAGAATGAATACATTCATATGTTTTGAGAGAGTGATATTTGGGGACATAAGTTCTTAGTCAACATATTTTTAGAATTTACTAGATTTTTTTATTCTATCTTGGCTTAGTCTGACTTTTCAAACCAAACATTGATGATGACAATTTTTTCCTCTTTGCTTATCTTGCTATAAGCATGAGAGCAAAATGTTGTAAAAGTTTTAAAAAAAATTATAATTTTGAATGAACCTTCTTTTGCACCTTTTGGGAAAATCAGTATCTTGATTGAGTGAAATTCCAAAAAAAAAAAACACTTTATTTAAAACACTTTCTAAATTCTAAGCCTAACAGTCCAGTTTGGCTTGTGTATCAAAAATACATCTATATTTCTGAATACCTGTTTTATTTGTTTATGGGCTTAAAAATGATGGTTACATTAGCCTCACATTAAGCCAAATGTGGAGTATGTATATTAGTTTTAAAATGTTGCTATAAAGCAATAAAAACATAAAATTTCATATGTTTCAACAGATTTGCACTCAGTAGCAACTAGATTTGCCTCCCACCCAGCTCTCCCATTTTTTGTTGAAAACATTTTTGAAAGAGTTTTGTGCTCAAATCTATCGATAGGAGCTTTACATATAATTTTGTTCTGGCCTTTTTTTTATGTTTAAATATTTACTTACCTAAGTCTTCCTTTGGATTTAGAAATTATTCTACTATGTAGAAAAATAGAACTCACTATAGACCCAGGTGGTTGCAAAATGCCAAATATTGAGCTAATCTCAGTCTGAATTTGAAACAGTTTTGTTTAATAAAAGAAACTGTAGAACAGTTGAAGCTTAGCACTGTTTTTCATTAACTACCATTGATTTGGAACTGTATTAAAAATAATGTTCATTATTGACCTTGAATGCAATAGTTGGTTGAATAGCAAAAGTTACTTAATTCAGTGTTATTTTTATGTTGCTGTTAATGACGAAATGTTTTAATAAAATACTAAGAAGTTAGAAGCTGTGGATTTGAGTAACTTGCATGAGATTGGATCAGTTGTACTGAATTACCTGGTAAGGAAAATGTTAACTTGTTAAGAAAATATATAATACGATTACACCATCTTGAACATGTAAAAATAACTGCATGCTTGAGATATTAATTTACATGAAAATAAAGTATAAATGTTTGCTTTTTTCCTGATCAGAAACATGTGGAAACTAGAAAGTGTTTTTAAGTGTATTTTCTTGGTGTTTTTTCCTTAACTTGTTTCAGCAGAAGAACATGGGCAGAAAGAAGGATGCAGTTGCTCTGTAAGTACAAGTTTTGATCATAATACTGTTTTCTGTCACAGAACCTCACAATCCCCACGTACAGATATGTAGTCAACCAAACTATCTCCGAGGACGTCTGGAATGCCAGGACATTACTACACCTCATGCCGTAGGTTGACTCTATTCCTAAGGCTTCACTGGGAAATTTAAAGAGGGATAGTTATTGAGTTCAGCTTAGATTGGCATGTTCAAGAATTCCATTGTCTTTGTTATGAAGATTTAGAATCCTATTTAACATGAGGATGAAAAGCATTTGGTAACGGAATGATACTTTGTCTCTTAGTCTTCATAACTTATAAAAAGCTACAGGAAAATAAAAACTAAGAAATTTTTGTAGGTTCAGTTGTAAAGAAGGTAAAAAATATTATTTTAGAGTTTTTTGAATTCTTCAGATTTTTTGTGTAGTGTTCTCCTTCATTTCGAATGCTGTGTGTGTGATTACACTATTTCTGGTATGCACATTGTTTTGATTCTTGCAAAGTGAGGCTCTTAACTTTGAGAGCATCCACTGTTATAGTTTATATACTGATTTTACCCTCTGTCTTAAGGGTTTAAGGGTTTTATATGGGTTTATTTTGCTAATAGACCAATTTGGGTTAACAACTTATTCATCATAGTTATTGTTATTCTCTTTAGCATCATCAGAAACTGCATGGTTTTATAGAATTATCAGATCCTGAAATTCAGGATGAGCTAATAGTTTGTTTCTGTTATGGTTAAGATCACAGATTTATTATGTTAGATGTAGCATTTGTTGACACTTAGATTCATTCAATGAGTGTGCTATATGTTTCCAATAATTATAAAGATAATTGTTTATTCAGTTTGTTGGGGTTGGGTCCAGACTATTTATACTTTTGCTGTTAGCTTTCAATGGCCAACTATTTTTTCCACACAAAGTAGTTCTTTGTTTAGAATTTTTGAATTGAAAGTCTTTATTGACTTTCATAACATAGAAACCTCTTTTTTACTTAACAAATTTATTTTTATATGATATTCTTGAATGTAACTCTGTAAAATCTCAAAAAGAACTGTGTTTGTTCTGCTGCTCTTTTAAGATAGATCTATACTAAAAAGCATGTATTTACTTTCTGTAGGTGACAGCTGTTAGTTAAAAGAAATGAAAATGATTCAAATCTCAGCCTATAAACTTTATTGGACTGGGTTTATGCAGTGTATCATGTAAAACAAGCAAAAGTACCCATCTCCAGTGATGGGGAAGGTTTAAGTTAATCTATTAATTTAAATTATTTCATGGACTTGAAAAAGGTTAATTGTGCTGCACTCTTGGTTTCACTCAGAGCCATAGCTCTGAGCTACTAAAAATGCCCACCAGGAAAAGTAATTGTTGAGCATTTCAGTTTTGCTAAGAGTCACTCAACAATAACATATGGGAAATCTACATTTTTATTCTTTAAATTATGTCACATTTTGAAATGTGAATGACAGTATGATTAATTCATAACAATTTAGTGTAGAATATCCTGCTTACAAAATAAAATTTGGTGAACATTGTTCATGCTTGTTCTCCTATGAATCTTGAGCTTTGCCTGCGTGTGTGGCTTTTCAAATGCAGCCGGCGTAAATGGGATACAGACGAAAGCTTGGACATACACCACGGTTCCCAATATATATATAAGATGTTTCCATTGTAAGGATACAAGTTTTTTGCAAAGTATATTTTGTTGAAGAACCATCAAATGGGTATAAAATAAGGATATTAAATCAAAGCTTGAGTTTGTTTGACAGTTTTCTTATATTCATTAAGAATTTTCAAAGCTTAATAATTTGTTAGTATTATATACAGTACTTATAAAAAAAAAAAATCTCCCTTTTGATTTTGAAGTGAAGTGGAAGCTAAAATGGAATTGAAGATGGCCCTTACCTTTAAAACTTCATTGATTTGAAAGTTTTATTAGAATTGTGAGAATATAATTATTCTGTTTTCAAATAGATTACAAAAGTGCCTAAAATCCTTGTTTATAAACAGAGTTGTATCGTAGGTTTCTGAAAGTATATACACCAGAAATTTGGGTTTCATACAGTGCAGTTCTCTCCTTTTCAGGATCAAGCTTCAGTAGTTATGGGAGAAATTTCACCTCATCAAGAGACACACAATTCTGATCCTTCTGCTGCCACTCCTCCTGCTGTACAGAACATGCAGTACCAGGAAAACATTGAAAGGTAAGTATACTGTGTTGAAGTTTCAAAAACATACAAAGAAAAGTGACTTTTTGTAAGCATTCAGAAAAGTAATAAACCCACTTGAAAATTAACTAATTCAAACAATTAAAGTAGGTATATTTTGAGAGTAATTATTAAATATCTTGTAAGTTCAGTACTAACTCTACTTTGTGGAAATATAAATATGTTTTAGTTATTACCAATGGGTATATGCTGCTTGTTAAGATCTTCAATTTTACATGGTTGTGTGATAATAGCATAACAAGCAAACAAAACTGAAATGAGTGAGACATTTTATTGTTATTGAAATGTTGTTGTTTTTTATTGCAAAACTACACAATCTACGATGTGTACTGTGTCCACTATGGGGAATCAAACTGATTTTAGCTTGATAAGCCATCAAGCTAACCACTGAGCCACTGGGAGACTATTGAAATGACAATGTTTGTTTTGGTAATATTGTCTGGAGGTGACTTGACTTGTAAGGCAGGAAATAAGTAAGAAGTAATTGTTTTTATTTGGGTTTCCTGCACAGATCTGAAGTGTTATACAAAGAACATTTTTTACCTGAATTGCTTAGGTTTTTTGCTAGTCAACCAAAGACATACTCGTCTGATGGGTCTGGGGAGAGTAAGAGTGAAGAACGACCGAACACAAGTACTGATGAAGAAATTGAGAAGTTCAGTGGTAAGAATAAGAATATGAAAGATATAGAAAAAAATATTTCCAATAAAATACTTTTATCTGATTAATGCTGTCTTGCTAATTCTAAAATTAGCCATTGCATTGACATTTCTCTTGTTCTAGTATAACAAATTTTCTTTCTAAGAACCAACTGGTAGTAGATATACTTATGTACAGTTAAAATGGATTACACATCATTTATAAACCTGATGGTTAAACATCTTAAAACTTTAAAATGATTAGAATTTGAGCTCTTGGTGCTTTGATTATTATTAACCAGGAGGTTTGATTCTAAATAGCAAATTAAGAATGAAGTACTTGCTACTTTGCTGTATTTTTGTGATGGAGAACATACATAAATGCAATAATTTTTTAAAAAAATTTTCTTTTGAACATTTAATCAGTTTTGTTACTGACAAGTGAAACTTTTAGTTAGTTACTTGGAATAGAAATGGTTCATGTAGACATAGGTCTTTACATCTATTTCGTTTTGAAGGATTTCTTTTACCAAATAAAAGTTTCTAGCAAATAAGCCAGTCAGAGTTTCTGTAAAGAAACCTAAGGATAAATTTGTTAAAATGTAATTTTCTTGGAATGCAACGTGATATATCTAGCATATTTGATATTTCCATACTACAAGTGTTTGGCATATGATTTGTATATACTAAAAGCAAGTTATTTTTGTTTTCTAGGATTTTCTGATGAGAAAGACAAGCAGTTTTCATCTCACTCACCAAGGTCAGTTAGGTTCCAAGCTGGTGGATTATTTAGCTCAAATTCCAAAAGAAAGATATTTTCTAAACGTGACTCTGGCAATGGATCAGTTCCATCAAGGAATGAAGATCAGATAATAGACAACATCAATGGTAGCAGTAGTTGTGGAAGTGCCAAAGATAGCAGTAGTTCTCCTACTTGGCATTCTCTAACTGAGGAGGCTTTGTCTCAACACAATCGTATGACTCAGAAGTTCTTCAAAAAGATTTCCAACGTTTCTAGTCCTGTTTGCAAAGGGAAGGATGTTCTTCATCACAAAAGATCTCAAGTGAAAGAATGCCCTGCTGGTTCACATAAGTGTAAATCAAATCATAACTATACATTAACAACTACACCATGTCAGACAGAAGGAAGGGCTCATCCAATGCAAGCTTCAGGAATGCCATACATTCCCTTTAATTTGGCTCCTCCATTTTCTCTCCCAAGTTTTCCTATGATAGTACCCTCAGCACCAATTCTTACTTCAGCTAACTCTACTTCTGGTACGACTTCCTTCTCAAACCCACTATTCAATACCACAATACCAAACCCTGGGTTCCATTACTGCACATTAATTCCACATAACAATGCAAATGGAGGACACTCTTCACCATTCTTTATACCAGGTATTTCTGTTGTTCTGTTTTTATTGTATAAAATTTTAGATATTACAGTAATTTAAATTAATCATATGAGATATTCTGGTAATTAATATTTTGATTAGGTTGCAACATTATTGCCCATGTTAAAAGAGGACTTGCTAAAAATAAGTGAAATATATTCACTATGTTGACTTCAATTAGCTATTTGTAGTAATTCCAGAGGAAAGAGGTGAACATAGACACCACACACACAAAGAGAGCACGTGGCTGACATTACATTTTATTTAGGATGAAGTTAAGTATTTGAAGGCTCAAATACACTCCTTAACATGGAACATTCTAGTAGTCCACACTAGAGCTGCTAGTTATCCAATGTTTTAGAAATAAACATTACACAGTATACCATATTTCCCCTCTTAGCTGTTAAGCTTCTCAACAGTATAGACCAAGTATGCTATCTGCTTACATAGATATGAGAATTTACCTTTATAATGTGTTAAATGAAACATTTATCTTATAACACTTACAACAGATTATTAAGAAATAATACAGATTATACATTTGTATCCAGTACAAAAAATAACCATACATCCAATCTAAATGGCTCCTGTGTCATGTAACTCATTATTACATGCATTCTACTTAAAACTGTTTATTTGTTTTGGCACAGCAAAATTTATGTAAATGGCTTTTCTTACCATATTTGTGGCACACAGAATCTTTGAACCTGCAGTCATGTGGTCTGCTGTATTGATAACATACAAGCTCAATTTGCTTGCTGATCTTCATCATTGATGTTTGCTGTGTAGCCTTTTTGGTCACTGATGGATCATCTATATAGCTAGACACCAAACGTTCCTTCTCACGTACACATGTGTAAAACTTGTACTTGCTCACAATTATGCTATCTTTGGGCTCCTGGTGCTTTTCACCAATTCAATTAGTTATTTATGTATTTTGTCAGTGACATTTTGTGTTGCTGTTAGCCTTTTCATAAGACTGTAAATCCTTGAGCCATAAACTGTCAATAGTATGGTATGCTGTTTCCCACATCCATTGACCTCATTTGACAGGGACTTCTGGGCTAACCTTTCAATGACTTCTGCTTAGTCTCCTCCCCCACTTGGAAGTCCTCTAGTACTCCAAAACAAACCATATATAGAGCTTATTAACAGAACAATACATATTTCAAAGAAATTATATCGTAACTTGTACTAATTTCAGGGAAATAAACACAAGGTACATGTGGAAAACATTACATTTTATTTAGGACAAAGCTAAGTGTTTGAAAGCACAATGCACTCCAATACTTGAAATCCTCTAGTGGCCTATATTAGAACTTCTAATAATGTATTATATTGCAATAAACATTACACAGAAGGCCACATTGTTATTAAACCATACATCTCAATGTACTTTCTCTTTTTCATATATATATATATATATATATATATAATTGTCAGATAGAATTTTGGCAAATTTGAGTGAAATAATTTCTTTAATATACATTGTACATTGAAGGTGCTATGTGTGTTGGAGCCTTTCCATTCTACCCATCAATGTCCACAGTCATTCCCGAGACAGGCCATCCTTTGTGGTCTTGTGGATCAATGTCTAATGTTTCTGTTAGCAACTGTGGCCAATCTGCAGTTCCTAATGTAGGAAGTTTTGGATATCAGATGTTTAACCCATCAATTCCAGTCAGCATGAATACAGCAACTCCTGAAGTAGCTGTAACAACAGCTCCAGGAAACCTTCCTGTATCTCAGAAATTGCAGGTTAGTACACTGTATGTTTGTTGCATAATGTAGAAATAGTACGTGTGTGTTCAGAACATCATGCTTTCTAAAACTCTTGTTGAAGTTAGCTTAAACTATATAAAACATTGTAAGTTATAAGACAGAGACCTATAAGGGTCTCTAACTTCACTTGCTGTGATAGTAAGCCAGTATTAAACTAACTAGATTGAATTAATGAGCCAAGGTGAAATCCCATAACCTTGTCTTGTAACTTTCAGTTAATCAAAAAATGAAAGTTTACATTTAGTGTGAAATGATCACTTCAACTGATTTTTTGGTACATCATAGATGTTAGTATACCTTAAATACTCCATTTTGCATTCTCTTAATTAAAAGCAAGAACTTAGTGTCCTTTTGGCAATAAAGTTAGGAATAAAACAACCTTTGCTCTCCAGATAATACTGAAAAAGCTTTTTATTTCTTGTACTACCAGCCCTGATGAAGCCAAAATTGTGAGATGTTGGCTGAAATAAAAAGTTGTTTTTAGTATTATCTGGAGAGTGAAGGTCGCTTTTTTCCTATCTTTTTTTGGCTAAAATATCTAAGTCTCTCCAGTATGCGCTAAAAATTCTGAAAAACAATTTAATGTCATGTAATTTGTAAATCTCCACACTTTATTGTTTTGTTTCCTTCCACAAAAATGAAATTTTTTCATCTTTGTTATGTTTCATACCAAATTTTGAAAGTGATATTGTATTTTTCATATAATTACCCTTTATTTAATATTTTATTTTTTGTGTAATTACCCTTCATTTAGTTCTAATGTAGGTAGTTTTTTATATTTGTTAAAGTTGTTTCACATCGAGTATGGTTTGCAGATTTTTACGTTCATTAACAGAATATGTTCTTTAAAAAATGACATGGAAAACAATATTTCAATTTCTCCAGTTAATGTTATTGATAGTCTTAACTCTTAAGTTTAAGTGAAAAACTGATATGTTAAAAATCAAAATCCATCACAAACTTTCAGGGTGCAGCTGTCTCCGTATCTGATAGTAGATGTTCCAACAGCTGTTCAGAGTCAAAGCATGAGCCTATAAAAGTAAAAAAAAAGAAAAACATGTTTTCTACATATCTTGATGCTTTTTTTACTGTTCATCCATCTTTAAAATGTAATGTTTAGTCATCTTTAAGAGCAAAATATTAGTTACTAGCAATAATAAAAAGAATCCAGCTAGCATTTGAACTTGTAACACCAAACAGAGACATAACTAGTCTAGTGATTGATATGGATGTGAAACACAATAGGGCTATTAGCTAGTTAAGCTACATCAAAATAGAAAAATATGCAAACTTGTTATTGTTTATCTTAGGAGGAACTAGACTAGTTACCGTCATAAGTATTCATCAGTCAGAAGCTTCAACAGCTTGTTTTTGGTTTTAAATTATCTTTTTGTAAAGGTTATGTTCTTAAACAGGTTTGTATAAAGTGTTTTGCATTGGATCTTTGTGCAACACACACAAAAACTAACAAATGTTAACATCTGATTAATGAGTGTCATTTTTTTAACATGTTTGTTTTACTAAGCTTTTAAATGCATGTGCAGTATTTCTTAAACATTCTACATGATATAGAAAATAAGATAGCTCATTTGAGCCATGCATTCCCAAGTTACTTTCACAACTAACTGTTCATCAAAACTTAAGTTAGCTTGTTATGTGAAAATACACCCCTTTTTGGCATAGAGCATTACTGAAAGAAGTTATTATTATATTGCTTGAAATATTGAGCATCATTATATTGGATCTTGGTGTAGTTATCATGCATTGTTGCCATTAGAAAGATATATATTGCAGCCCTTTCTGAGGAAAAATGCTCATATAGAAATAATTTTGAAACAATGTAGAGCCAAAGAACTCAATATTTTGGAGAAAAGAGCCTTCAATGTTTTTCATGAAAGTAGAAAAATCTGTACATCAGAAGGTTTAAAACAACAGTGTGTTTGAAATCACACCTCAATCCAGTTTGGAGCAAGTGAAGACTGTGATTGCAAAAGAGAACCTCCAATCTAAAAAGCCATCATGATGAATCCTTGTATATATATCCTAGTACTGTTAATGAAGATTGATGAAGGTTCACAAACCAAAAGCACTCAAGCTTCCATCTCAAAGTTAGTGGCTATTCTTGGCTAAGCAAACTGGAATCACAGTAATTACAATCAACCACATACCAAACATAAAGTATTTGTATTTGAATGCACTGAAATAGAAATTCACACTTTTATGTACAGAAGGCAATACAATGTTATACATCATTTGATAGATGAAAACCTTGGCTTCCTATTGGTTATAAATAATGTAGTATTGAAAGTCAGAGGGAACTATTGACAGGTGGGTGTGGCAAGAGGGATCTGATTTTCTATTTGATGGCTATGTAACAAAACAAAATTGAAGGTTATGAAACTTAAGCTTTGCCTGGGCAATGACAACATTGTAATGAATAATTTACAATAAAATTTGTACTTCATGAAGGGGTGGTAAATAAATTAGAGAAGAGGGGATGCCTAAAGAGAAAAAAGTCACATTTCTCACACTACGTGAATTTCAGGATTTTGTTAAAATATTGTCTTATTAAATTAAGAACTTAAAACTTATTTAGTATTAAAATATGGATTATTAGCTATGATTTTATGGTATACTAACTGATATAACATGAAGAAAAAAGTGTTTAATTAAATTTTGAATGTACCTAACTATAAACATTGAGGCATATAAAGGATGGCTGTGGCAAGAGGGTTAAATCACGTCAGTCCTCTCCAACCACCATAAAAGTTGTTGCATTACATGGTTATTAGTCCAGTCAAGTCACTTGAGAGAATTTTAGATGGCTACTAGACTACCTTCAGTGGTACATGAACACTTTATACTTCCTACTGCTTGATCTGGTCACATCAAGGCAATGTAAATATTGTGAGCAGACTTCAGGAAAAACTACTTATAACCTGTTGACACATCTGAAGGTAAGCCTTTTTATTATTTTCCTTAATATGAACTATATTCTATGTAACTTATACAATATAATATAGGTAAACTCAATTTCTCATACATGTTAAATTATGTTTTTATTATTTCAATTTATTTATTATAATATGTTTTTTATTATTTTTATTATATAAACTATATTGTATAGTTAAACTGAATTTCTCATGTTTTGAACTATGTTCATCATTTTTATTTATAATTATATGTTTTTATTATTTTTATTATAAACTACATTCTATATTATATAACTGAAATATGCTTTTGTATTTCTAGTGTAATCACATTATAACCAGAACCACAGAAGTCTACATTTGGGTCTGGTATTTCTGCCCAGGTGCAGCAGCCTACAATAGCAGTATACTGTACAGAATCAAACTAAGTATAACTCTACACACCCTTGCCAGAAGCACATTACTAATGAACTCATCAATTCTATTGCTAGTACACTGCAGCCCTTCTGAGTGGTGGAGTCAGAAGATTTTCAAGATCTACTGGCAGCCATGGATTCTCAGTATCTTCTTCCCAGTCGCAAACATCTGTCTGATCGAGAGCAAGTTTGATGAAATTCAACAGAAAGTCATCTCTCTGCTGCAACGTGTATCCAACATTAATGTCACTGTGGATATCTGGAGTAGCAGACAAATACACAGCTTTCTTGGAGTCACTGGTCATTTTATACTTGACTGGAAAATGCAAACAGTCATGCTGGAATATTGGCTTTTAGTGGCTACTGTTGAATGACGTTTTTGGAGCAACTATGATTCTACGTATTTTTTTGGGTCAAAGCATGGAAGGGGCAGTCCAACAAGTTTAATAAATAAAAGTGCTGAAACAGTTTTTGTCATCAACAAAGCTCTGGTTGGGGTGACAATCACATTCATCTGTGAAAACCCTTGTTCACATTCACTAGAAGAAATGGGAATAATACTCAGAGCATGTTTCAAATGCTGCAATTTTTCCAGAACCGTCTTTTCAATCATATACTAACAAAATCTACGAATCATATCTCTTTCAGTTAGCTGAAGTCTTATTGATAATTTTCTGATCTCTATCTCGCCGAATGTTAAATGAGCATCAACGTTTTCAGGCCAATGTTTTTGATCAAGCACGCAAGCACACTATGCTATATCGCCATCTTCATTATCAAGCAACCTATTTTTGACCGATTTTTTTTTTTTCAAGGTTCTGTAAGAAGCTTCTGGATTAATCTAAATGGAGGATCCTTTTTGCAATCTTTGTTGTGAAGAGAAACTCCCTGGAAGTGAAGATTTTAGTGACTTCGGAGACATTTTTGTAATATGGGCCTGGAATCATTTGTCTTTCTTCAAAAATTTGTAAAAGAGCTTTTATCTTTTGATCCGCCTTGTACAAGTCTATATCATGCTCTTTTTAATCAAAACTCATTTCGAATAATTCTTGGAGACCATCACACATCAATTCTAGATCTAATAGAAATTCTGTGCTTGTAATTTTTCCCTGTAAGTCCTCATCGCACATTGCTCTTTTTTGTCTCTTGTTGAATCATGCTTCGCTTCTTTGAAATGTTGCACTAATACTTCATAGTTTTCCCAAACAGATGAAACTGACTGAAAACTAGATGCCACCCATCGAGGGCTTAAAATTTGGCCAATTTTTTAAAGTTGAATCACCAGCAAGTTCACGCACACTTTCAGTATTCTGCTATTTTTAGGTGACACGTGAAAGAAGACGTTGATCTGTTGATCCCTGAGACTGATTTTACAGTGTCATCAACCAACAGTTCTAATCTGTGATTAGCACAGTGCCACACAATTACAGAAGGAAATTTGTCTTTCATCAGTTTTTTAACTCCACTTTTACTCCCCAACATCATGGCTGCACCATCACATGCTACATAAAGTAAATAACTTTTCAGGTAGTCTTCATTCATTCCGTAAGATTGAAAACAATCGAGTAAAGAATCAGAAAAGTTCGATTAAGTCCAAATATAAATTTGCCGGGGAGTTCATCCCATTATC